GATGGACAGCTGTTGAGATATTTGCATGTGAAATAACAGGAAGTGATGTCAAAGAGGAATGTTTGCATGTGAATATTTAAAAAAAAATTAACTGTTACCAATAATTTTAATGTTTGAGATGAATTACAATCATCCTATTTACAATGTGTTAACTTTTTTAAGGCTTCTGAAAGATTGATTTAAGACATTTTAAGGCTAATTAAGGCCTTTTTTGGATCGATAAAGTCAATGCCTTTTTTTAAGGATCTGCAGGAACCCTGGATTAATTATTCACCAGTCACCTCACATTTGATCAAACCACAATTCCATTTTGAAGTTGGTGAATACCTTTTTGTAAAAAAGCTGCTCATTTGGCAGTCTGCTTTTCAGGAACTCCTCACTGTGAAACACTCGATGATCATAGTTCAGATGATTACTCACGTCCCTGTGAAAGCACACACAGACAGACAGTTCTAACATGCAAAAAGACACATCCAGCATCATCTCAACAAGAAAGCAACCTGAATATGTTGACAACCAGCTCCAGTGCAATCCTCTGGATGTCATGGTTGAGTTTGTGTTGCCACTCTTGTCTTTGGTCACGCAGCTCATCGATGCTGGAGCAGGTTGCACTGTGGCATCGATCCAAGTCGAAATGTATCTGCAGACACTGGCACCTGATAAAAACTTTTTCTAATTAAAAACCTGCCAGTTTACATGACAAGGGATGTGCTTATAGGCATTGATTTTAAACCTTGAAGTAACATTATGGGAAATCACAAACTCAGAGTGTGTGATGTGAGAGACTTTCAACTACAACCTATTGTGTTGAGGTATGGGGGAAAGCATGTAAGACTATTACAAATCCTGTTTTTGTTTTGCAGAAAACAGCTATAAAAGTTATACATTACCTTTATCCATATAATATTTTATTCTGTAAATTGAAATTATTGAAATTTTATGATTTGGTTGATTATAATATTTTGTTAGTTATGTATAAAACACACCAAACACATTACCTTTAAACATCCAGATGAACTTTATTAAGAACGAGAGCTGTTCTAATCTTAAGGGCACAGAGATGTTCATAAAACCTAAATTTAGAACCAGTTTGAAAGAACGCTGCACCTCAATCCAACGAGTCAGATTGTGGAATAATCTGGAAAATTATGTTAAAAGTGCCAAACCAATATACTGTTTAAGAAAATGATAAAGGTTGGATTGCTGAAAAAAATATGAAACAGTTTAATGTGTATTCATATAATTTGTTGTTCTAGAAAGATTTGATGTTTTTGTTTTGTTTTGTCAACTGAAGAATATTATTGTTTAAATTTATATTTTAGGAAAAAAGGGCAGATATAAGATTTTTTTCCTTCTCTCTGCCACCTTTCATTTCATTTTCCTTGTATTTTTCTTTTTTATTGTACATAGAATTATATTTTTTAAGAAAAGAATAAAGTTTAAAAAAACTTACCAGATTTTAGCTCAATATCTGTAAAACTGACTGAATAATAGCCATTGCTGTTCTCTGAGGTCAGTGCGCTGTGGCAGCCATCTTGAAATTGGTTGGCTTCAAATATTAATCAGTTATAGATATATAGTAAATCCTATAATTACTTGCAAAAAATTAATTCAGTGTGTAGATATTAATGTTTTAATGGCCATGAGTTTTAACTCTTAACATTGCACTAAGAAGAACCACACCTCTGTGTGAAGCAGTCTGCAGCAGCTGAAGGGATGTCAGGAACAACAACAACATCAAGAGAGGAAGAAGAAACACTTCCGTCATCAATATTAACCAAGATCAAATCATCGGTTTCCTGAAAAAATAAAAGAGTAACACAATTCAATTTAAACTGTCACAAAAGCCTATTACATTTTAACTGAACTTCAGCTAAGTTTGTTTAGTTTTATATTTWAAAAAAAGAAGAAAGACTGTCAAAAAGGGACTCTGATGCTGTTTAACTTTCGTGTTAGAAGCTGTAATTTTGCAGATTGTGTACTCACATCAGCAACCTCTGCAAAATGACTGAGATGGCATCCCATAAGGAAAGCAGTGGGAGCCATTAGAAAGTCCAGCATGCCTCTGGCCAGAACAGGAACATATGGATGCTGCCACACCAAAGGCTGCAAGAAGGAAGAAAATCATTATGAAGACTGTTGCCAACTCCTCAGTAAAAATATATATGTATAAAGTAATTACTGGCTGTCCTAAAAGTGAAAAGATGACATCATCTAATCTGCAGTTTGGACATTTGCCACTAACTGTGATCTATGCTGTATGGGATATTTATATCAGTGTTAAAAAGAAAAAAAATAAGCAAAACTCTCTAAATATGTTTAGTATTTCAAAAGAAGTTAAACAGCATTCCCACAGGTCAAAAGAAATTTCATTTAAGACTTTTAAAGACCTCTTTAATGACACTTGAAATGAAATTTAAGACCAACTTCGCAAAAAAATAAAAACAGCAACAATGTTACCCAAATGTTTATATTAACATAAAACAACTAGCTGTGAGAGGCATCCTTTAAATTTAAAAGAATAAATAAATTATTTTGACCATTGATTATTTTAATATTTCAGACTAATTACAATCATCCTAACTTACAATGTGTTATTTTTAWGACCCCTGAAAGGTTGATTTAAGACATTTTAAGGCTAATTAAGGCCTTATTTTTGGATTGATGAATTCAATGACATTTAGGACTTTTAAGGATCTGCAGGAACCTTGTTAAATAAATTATTTTATGACCACAATGCTTAGATTCACATTACATATCAAATTTAACCTGTTAAATGTCACAGAGGCAGACGAAGGACGAGGTGAAGAAATGACTGAAGCTGTGAGTCAAATGCAGCCGGACCAGAGATTTATTTTAGTGAGACAAAGTGTGTTTAAAACATGTTCATAAATTAACTTTAATTTTATTTTCATGTTGTGTAAAAGTTTATATTTAACTGCAGAGTTGTAAAGTAACTAAGTACACATACTTTGTTACTGTATTTAAGTAGAATTTTGGGTTATACTTGAGTAATTATTTTTCAGCCTACTTTTTATTTTTACTCCTTACATTTTTAAAAAAGACAAGAAGTAGAAAGTTGTTACTTTTATTTCAGTTTTGCTTGTTTTCATTGCAGCTTGTTATTGTAAAAAATAAAAACTATCCATATAAACTGAGCCTCCTAGATAGAGTGAATTTAACTGTGGTTGAATGAGAAGTATAAATATATAAAACTCTGATAGTGTATTAGTTTGTACACAAACAAATCATGTCACACTCCTGCAGGACAGAATCATTCAAATAAAAGGACTGTACTTAAGAAGTATTTGTATTTCATGAATTATATTMTTACATTTGGCCGCAGCCCTCAGATAGATTTTCATTTTGGGGAAAAGCTTTGTGCAGCCTTGATATATGTATATAAACTGAAACAGCTGGACTAGTGCATCCTAAATTTAACATCCATTCATTCTTTTAATACAACAGTCATTTCTGCAGTTTTTGGGGAGGTCACCTCCTAATAAATGTCCTTACAGAAAATCTAACTGCTCATTTTAAATCGTTACTTTGACTTTTAATACTTAAGTACAAAAAATATCAGATCCTTTAAGACTTTTACTCAAGTAATATTCCCAAAGGAGACTTTAACTTTTACCAAAGTAATTTTTTGGTAAGATACTTGTACTTTTACTCAAGTATCACTTTGTGTTACTTTATCCAACACTGTACAACTGCAGGCTTCCTTTCTTCCACCACTGTGTTTGTAACACAAATTTAGCACTAAATTAAAACTTTATGCAAAAAGAAAATAATTTCATTAACAGAATTTTGCTCACATTCAACACAAATATTGACTTTACTGTGTGACAGATAGATTTTAAACTGACCTTCAGAAAAATTAACAAACTTTCTGCTATCAACGTGAGTCTGGCCCAATCAGCAGAAAATAACACCACCCTCTGTTCCTGCAGGAGACAGGACAGCACCTACAGGGACAGGGACAGGGACAGGGACAGGGACAGGGACAGGGACAGGAACAGGGACAGGGACAGGGACAGGGACAGGAAGAGACATGACAGGACGTCTGAGCCTCTTCTCAGACTAAAACCTCCTAACGTGTGTGAGATACCTGCAGCAGCTGCTGTGGCCTGAAGCAAAGAAAGGGCAGGTGGAGGTCTAAATCTATAAGTGGGTGGTCTTTGTCCTCTCTGGAGGGTAATCTGACCGTCAGGGGCTGTAACGTAAACGTCTGGAAAACAGCACAACGGGAATGAGTGGAAGGATCTGCTGAAATCTGTTAGCATCAAAGCAAAATCCAATGGTTTGGTCGCTACACACCAAATGTAGCTGCCCAGGTGGTGGAATTGGCACAAGTGACAGTTTGGTTGCAAATTCTTTCACTTTTTCCTCCGTGTCTGATAATCGACAAGTCCTCAGCTGGATTACAAGGCTCAAAGAATAAAAATAAATTTAAAAAAAAACATGAGACAGAACAAAAGAGACAAGAGGAATAATCCATGATTTAATTGCCACCCAAAATTATTTTCAATAACTGTACAATAACTTAGAAATGTTGCAGGGGACACCTACAGTTAGCCTGTTAGCAAATACACAGAAAAAAACAGTATGTGCAAGCCAATCCACTACAGTTTTATAATCTAACCATTTCTTACCACGACAGGCAGTCTTTGAGAGCAGTGAAGTAAGGGTGCTTGGATATGACACAGAAGCTGTACGCTGAGAAAAGTCTAGAGAACGTTGACGATCCAGCTCCGATCTGATTACAAGACATTCCTCCCTGAAAGAAAAAAACAAAACAATCTAACAGTGAACAGATTTTTAAACATCTTGTTACATTCTGGTTTGAATCCAGTTATTTTATCCAATAAAAACAAAAAATAGAACGTTGACGATCCAGCTCCGATCTGATTACAAGACATTCCTCCCTGAAAGAAAAAAACAAAACAATCTAACAGTGAACAGATTTTTAAACATCTTGTTACATTCTGGTTTGAATCCAGTTATTTTATCCAATAAAACAAAAATTAGAACAGAAAAAAAAAACATTCTTTTTTTTAAAACATCAAAAAGCCACATCATGAAATCTGCTGGACAGAAATGATTAATGCAAAACTACAGTTTGGAGGCACCAACAATCGACCTTTTGATTGGTTCAGTTTTAACCACTAAATTAAAAAAAAGTTTTCTCTCGTTGCATTAAATATTTCAGAGTTGTGATTATTAAACTTTACATTAAAGTGTGTAAAATATTACACAACGTACCAGAATGGGACGATAATACTGCATTACTACTCCATGAGTTTTGTTGCCAAAGACGTCAGTAAAAACCAGGAAGTGGAACTGCTCAGTCTTCTGCTCACTGGTCACTTCCAGACCACCTGGTGTTAACACAAAAACACACGTTTTCAGGTCATGATTAACAAATATTATAAAACCAAGACTGCAGGGAGAAAAAAGTGAGTCATTCACTTTAAACGCTCAATACACCTGTTTTCATTGGCAGTTAGAGACACAAAAATCCTAATTTAAACTTTGTCAGATARTTATTGCTAAAGCTTGATCTGAAGGGCTTATTGAACAGTTATGAAGAAATTTGAGAGAAAAAAAAGTTTGTGAAATGTAAAACTGAAAATGACTAATTTAGTTAAAATTCCAAAGAAGCACTATTATAGCACGCTTTGCAAGTGGGCTTTACAAAGGAAAGCCCACCTCAGATAAAAAGTGAACAAATGGTTGTGCATAAACAACATGAGCTTTGATCCAGTGGGGATGTTGGTGTGTTTAAACTGATGGAAAACAATGAGAAGATGGTTCCTGACGAGCGTGATCAAATTCAGTAATTTACCAATGTTTAGATGGTGATGTAATGATGACAGCTGTTGGTGATGTAGTTATGGACCAATCACAGAGCAGTTCTTGGTTTAGAGGGATCCTCTACACTATTAACTGTAAAATAAAGGCTATAATAAGACAATATGTGACCCATCACATCGAAACGAGGATTAAGACCAGAAGTGGTATATAGAGAAATAGGCAAATATGTTTTGACTAAAATGTTAACAAAAATTGCATTTTGTCAAGATATAATGAATAAATGCCTTATCAATGTTTCACTTGAATGAACTGTCTGAAATATGATCATAAAACAAAAATTTGAAGCATTATTT